TATAGTCTTATGTGCATGTTTAGTTTTTAAACGTCAAAATCCAATATATTGGGAAAATAATTTATATATGGTATGAATTCAATTAAATCTGAATGCTTGATTTTAAAATACTTTCATTCGACCATCAGATTATACTCGGTTTTTCATTTACGGTAATCTGATGAAGGAGCGTTATACTTCCTGTACTCAATCAGTAAGTTTTTTAGTTTGTCGAAGGAATTTGTAAATCATAATTATATAACGTAAAATCATAGCAAATAGTAATTTTAGAGCCAGTAAATTTTCAGTAGAGATAGGTGAAAATGAAAATATTTAGCAAAGTAATTCATCTTAATTACATAGTCCTATATTAAAAAATCTAATGTTAAATTAACTGAATGATATAAGATTTATTTATTTTATTTATTTATTTTAACACAGATATTGGTACAAGGAGGCACCAAATACATATGCGCCACACAAATCTCATTTGATATGTATGAGGGCTGTGAAACTACCTGGGTGCCCAAACCGAAGCAGGTGGTTTTCCTAGGGGGCCACACCCGCAACCTTCGACCGAAAGGTCTGATCCACAAGGCAGTGGAGCATCATAAGGAGATGCAGTCTCATGGTAGCCGGTGACCAACGATTGGTTTATACGCCATTTGTTCATTCAGGATACTGGAGCCCATGGGCACCATCGGTTTGGAATCAGGGATTTCCAACTTCCCTAGGTGGATTCTCCATATCCACCAACCCAGTTAAAGCGACGACATTCACTTTTCGTCCTCTGAATTTCGTAAACAACACCCCTGTCACAAGAAGGCAATGAGTTGGACTTCCCTGACAGAGGCTATATACGTGTGGCCATATGAGAGCATTTCGAGAGGGAGAGTGGACTCTCTCCACTCTCGGCCGTACCAGGGCATTTGGGGGCAAATGATATAGGAAATATGACTCATACAGATTATTTTGTGTGAAGTTCATTATTAAGTTGTTTAGGTTGTTTAACTAAAGCTTTTTGTTTTATCTGACGTGACAATTCGATTATTCGTTAATTCTAAATGAAAAGTTATAATCATAAAAGAAAAGGCTAAATCGATTGTTGAATGACCAATGTTTTCGAATTGTTAATTAAGTTTCTAAGGTAATGCTAACTGATAATATTAAGTAGTATGCAAAAATAACTGGATTTAAGAGAAAAAACCTCAAAAAAGTTTAACCATTGGTCCCTGATCAGATGTTCTGTTACGTTTGCTTTATTAAAAATATGACATCTTTGACAGTTGTAACATTTAACTGTATATTAAATGTTTCAATCGTAATGGGAAGCAAACACTTAAACAGGTGATTAGGTAGAAAGTTGGCCAATATTTAAAATAGAATTAAATATTCTATATATTTATTGATACATGGTTATATACATCGAGCAGAAAAAAAATCCTAGACACAATAATCAGTGACTGAAATAAGGTCGATATTAAATTTGCAATTAAATCTGTTAGCTAGAGTTGAGTGAAAAAGTTCCAACTATGACTCAATATATTGTGTTCCATTGTGACCTAGATATTTTTCCACTTTTAGTCTTCACTGAATATATCATTATTTACAGATTTATTGGTCACTTAAAGAAAAATCTAACAAGTGGAACTTTAAAATAACTTATAATAGACGAACTCAATGTAATTGCTGAGTTAATGATGATTTTTTGTAGAAAAAGTCACATATCAAAAATATTTGGTTTATTCACACTATAAAATTTATCAAAAATTACTGTAGGCCTCATTTCATACAACTAAGTGTTCTTAATAAAATACACATGATATATTAGACTAAAATTCTATTGACACTGAGTACATTCACACTTCTTAAATTTCAGTACTTTAAGCGAAATATGTGATAACTAATATAAAAGTTCTACTGCCGTGTTTATTAAAATTCAGTTCAGTTTGATGGAATATTATAAAGTATTTAATATGATGATGCGATTGTAGGTAGGTATTATATATTAGGTAATTTCGATCTGTAATTACCTTATTTTACAATCAAGTGAAGAATTTAGCTATGTATGCAATATCTCTTCCTAATTAATTAGGTCGATAAAACCTGTTCATTATAATTGTATATTTCATAAGTTATTATTAGAATGGGGGTTTTCGGAGATTGTAATGCTTTTAATAGTTGAATTCATGAGTTGATGTAACTTAAACCACCGTTGTAAACTTGGAATCACTGGACGGCCGTTTCATCCTAGTACGAGATTTCTCAGCAGTGCGCATCCATGATCCCGAATTCGGGAATCGAACCCAGGACTTTCTGTTTAGCGCGTGAACGCTCAAATTCTAGACCACTGAGCCTGCATTCAATGATGTTAATGTCTAAATTCAATCGATTAATGATCTTACGAAACCATTAATCCATTATCAGAGGTAGATACCTGTCTCTACCCGACACAGATTGGACTCCATTGGTCAGGGCTTCTCACTAGAACCCCAGGAAATCCATCTCGAAACTAGTCACTATTGAGTACATAGTTATTATTAGTATGGGGATTCGTGGGGACTAGTTCATAAGTCTCATGCAGATTATAACAACGTTTGATAACTATTATATATATCAACTGAAATGTTATTGATGCTACTCAGTATAAAGAGTGGCATAAAAATAGCAATATTACAAAAATGCTTTAATAGTCCGAAACATAACTTACCATCATAGGTTCTAATCCTTAATGGTCAAGATCAATTTGTGTGCTATTTCGCACCAAAATAGTGTTGTACGTATACCAAGGATAAAAAACTCCGACTAATTCTAATCATTCCAAGATCAGTACCAGGGTGCAAACTTTGCACAAAGCTGAGTACTAAGTTCCATGCATAGTTCCAGAACAAGTGAGCTAGAGACACCACTAATATACACAATGAGGAAGTAACCATCTGGGGGCTGCAAACTAAACAAACAGATAAATTTGCGATATATGGGGGTTTTAGGTAAATATTAAAGACTACAATTAAATGCGTCAAGATGATTAACACTTTAAAAAATTGTGAATCACGTAGACGTGGCATCAAAAAGAAGTATTGATTAACTATCAAGCTTCTAAATTATATTGTAACCTGAGTTGGGCAAGCTGAGCATTCAGACTAAAATATACAGCTGTCTTAAGAATTCTTATTCGCATAATCTAAAAACAGTGGAGCGTCAATTGCATATTCATGGTACTCGTTAACAATAGATGATGTTTTTTCCCCGAATGTTGATGGTGATATACAACATAAGCGTGTATTCATGTTTATATGTTAAAGGATGAATTTCTGCATTTATCAATCTTATCTCGTTCAAGTATTGAGGAAATACTGGGTAATTAGGGTATCCTGCAGGTTTTATGATAGGAAAATGAATCGACACTTTTACCAATATTGAGTATATTACTTGATATGTAAGTGTTGTTGTAGATATCGTTTCTAGTTGGAAAGTACGCCAAAATAAATCAGACTGCTGAAGACACTTGCTTACGGCTATATGACAGACGGTAATTTAAGGTGATCTTAATGAAACACCCCTTTTAGTGTTATATGACCTTTTCTAATTTATTTAAGATTAGCATGATTGGTAGTCCTTCCGAATTCCTTCACATACGGGTTTTACTTAGGTATTAAATTAATGAAACGGAAATATTGGTCATAATAATAATATAATTGAGCAGGCTACTATCTTGTTCTAAAGTACGAATTTCGCTCAAATAATTTTCATTCACTTACAGATATATTTGTGATTGCCTTGTAGTCTTTCTTTATATGAACATTTACAGTGGAAAATTCTCAAAAATAATTATGCTCACATACACCATGAGTACTTTCAGTTATTAAAATAAATATTACCATGGATTATGATTAGCACAAAAGTATGCAATATGCTCACATATGTTAATTTCACAGATTCAAGTGACTTTATCAATATTAGTTGTTTTATTGAATCCATTAACACTGTGAAATTTATTAATTTATCGTATCTTACTGCGGTATTTGAACTAATTGGTAATTCCTTTGTATTTGAGTGCGCGCTTTTCACGAATCCCAAATATAATATGCTAAGTTCTGCTTCTTTATTTCTACCTGCCTAAAATTGCACTAGTTCGGGAATTCTTAGTTAGAAAATCAGTTTGAATACTTGTAATTATCACGTTATTATACAAACTACTAATTATGATATTGGCGAGTATAAACATGGGACCAACCGGTGAAACATTGCTAGCAAATTCAGTGGAATTTTTATCGTATTCAAGCATATTAATTGAAAGACTGGAGCTACTATTTTCAAGCCTGTAGAATACACTTTGTAAGGTAGAACCTAAGAATGAGGAAACATCTGAAGTAATAAATATGTGTAAATACACTAAAAGTTTAAGCCCTGACTTAGAATACATCGCACATTTTATATTATTTAGACACTGCTGCAAATATTGAGCAACTGTGAGTTGAACTAATTTACTGCAAGGATTTATAAAGTCTGTACGTTTCGTTGAATACACTGAACACAACAGACTCCCACTTACATTCCTTGATAAGCGTCTACTTATGCTCGTTATACTGGCGGACTACTTTCAAGGTCACAAAAATAAGTGCCTTTTCCCACAATGTATATGAACAACATCTACATAATCTATTCTGCTAGATTATTAGTTCATATTTAATGCTATAACACTTGATAGTTTCTATTTAGTCAGCTATATAGCTGTTATGTGGTCATATATAGAATACATTTGTTCCTTACTTAGCTACTATTTCTGGAGGTAAGATTACAATTGCGACTACATAATTAATTCGGCTCTCACACCAAAAGGAAACCTGATTTAATAAAAAATGTTGTCAGAAACAAACTGGTTGATCTTTGAAGTTTTAATATTCCTGGAAAACTTTATACTGACTTTATTTTTTACTACACGGTCTAATAAGTCTATCTGATAGTCCTTTTCTCGAAAGATTAACATACGCCAAAAGTCTATGGGAAATATGACTTTTGTAGAAAGACAATGTATTTTTTTAAATATACATATTCAGTAAAAAATTAATAGCTGATGACATGAAAAAGCTTATGTGACGTACAGTTACAATGAGAGAGAAGGCGGGAATATTTTACAAATTTATTTATATCATATAAAATAAATAAGTTTTTTACGAATCATTCTTGTTGAACAAATGGATTAGGTATAGATTCCATTCCATCTGCAGGACAAACAAGTTCCACGGATGGACCCCTGTAAGAGACGAAAAAAATTAGAAGAGATTGTGATTATTAATTATAATAACTCTTTATGTAATTATATAGAAAGAAGGGCATGGTTCATTCAAAAGTCTAGGCTTTAAAATAACTTCCAATGTTACATGAATTTTATTCGGTATAAAACCATTTCAATAAGAATAATAGAAGTTTAGAAAAACTGCTGCTTGGAAACTGATTCGAAAAAGACAATAAAATGACTAAAAATAAACACTTCAGTTGGTTAGTATAAAAATTATCCTTTTGAATCAATATGAAAATCAAAATCACTTTCCAGTCGGTATTATCATTGTAAATTCACGAAAATTTTCGAACGCAATATCTTTTCTTATATATATAATAAGTTAAATGCACCATGTATCAGATACCTTGATGACGTACGCCAGTACTCTTTAATTTTATTAATATACTTCGAAATCAGTACATGTAAAATAACTCTTTGCGTGTCAGCTTAGCCGAAAAAGTGATCAGTTTTAAGTGAGGAATTTTATGTATATGCATTCCATCACAGAGTAGTACTGCAGAGGAATAAGTTTTTCAAAAATTATATAACAGTAATGAGCTGAATTATTAAAGAACAAGTAGTTTCATGAACATCGAAATACAGATTAGAACTTCAGGACTCCTTACTTTTTGACCACAGTTTGGCTAATTACTAAACGAACACAATTAAACACTGTAAACGATTATTACTCAACAAGAGATCATTTTCATATGATACAAGGCATTGTAGCATTAATTTCCTAATTATAAATAATATTGATTCAGCATTCTTTGTTTAACTTTTGATGTGAAGTTTAATAAGATAGTTGTAGCATATAATTTTACATAAGATATCCATGTATAAATCAAGTGAATTCGAGACAGCTCTAGAGAGATTGTTGTTAGCATAAGAAAGGCTATCTAGTTATTGTAATGAATGTAACTAACTAGTTTTCAAAAGAACATTATTTGAAATTCTTGTGACAAGACATGAATATAACTTTCCTTTCGACTGCTTCATTTTTGAAAACTATTAATTCAAGTTAAATAATTAATATAGGACAGTAGGTTTGAAGATGGATTTGTGAACCTGAAAAAAAAGCAATCATTTGATGTTCTCTGAACTTTAACAAATTACCGTAGTTTTTTCAAGAGTTTTGATGTTACACAACGTAAGTCAGTATTGATGTATTTAGTACACTTAAATATTAAGAATTTATGATCAAACACTAAAGTTTAGCAACAACTAAACAGTAGCAGAAATTCTTATTTCCGAGAAAAAAATTACGTAATCAAAGAATAGAGTCTTTAAATACTAAGTAAGAATAACAGATGACGATTAATAGTTTGGAGCAATTTCCTATAGAACTAAACACTAAAACTAACCTACAAACCACAAGGGCAAGTTCTCTTGTATCTTCAGTCAAACGATGAGGATCATCTGGATCACGAAGAAATTCAGTAGTACAATCAATCACCATATTCTGTAAATTATCGCATCCTTTCAAGATACCAACAGCTTCCCGTCCACCTGAAAATTTGACACGGATTCTTTTATCTATATACTTGTTTAAATCAATTATAGACTCTTTCTTATGCTTTTCCGGTTGTTTATCTCCAGTAGGCATTCTCGCTAGGAGTGTGTAGAAAAGATTAATTAGAACAATAACAAAGTTTATCACTAACATATATGAATTATCAACGATTTTACGAAAGATTATCATTTTCAAGTTTTTGTTATTGTTAAAAGAAATGAATAGTTGGTGTTTTAAATATGCTTCCATTTTGAAGGCAGAATGATTGCTGGAAAGCTGTTACTTGAAAAACGTCAGATTTGAGTCATTTTCTTGCAGTAGGAGCTACTTAACGTGAATATATATAAGCAAAAATGGATAAGGCAATATCAAAGCAATACACACAGTATGCACATATGCCAATAAGAGACTGATCAATTGCAGACCTAATCATCAATGGGAAGATTCAAGTAAACAATACCAAGTGAATTTAAACTTCACCCCATTGCGCAAGCAAGTGGCTATCAGGATTCAGTAGCTAAGTGGCTAACGCGATGGCGTTTTAAGCGAACGGTACTGGGTTCAAGTCCCAGAGTGTAAATCAATCCTGAGATGCAGATACATCCAGCTGACGAGTCCAAAATAGGATGAAAAGTGCATCCTGTATTCCACTGCTTGCCACTATTCATCTTTGCTTATGAATTCACGATAATTCAAAAGGTCGTCAAATGTTTAAAAAATTTAGCATAAATTTAAAATAATAAATAATCAAAGTAGATTGGAGTGGTGATTCATTTTAAATAAAGATATAAATAATATAAAGCAGTACACATAAAAATATTTTTTCATCTTATTCTTGTTACTTATTTGTGGATCAGTAACAAGTAATAATTAAAAATTTTATCTGAAAGTAAGCCAACATATTGACTATTTAAGATGGTTTCCTATTCAAAGAGCATTTCTTTAAAAAAAAACAATAATATTCAGTGCATCTAAACAACTTCTATTTATCTAGTATTATTTGAACGTGAAAATGTATACAATTTTGAAAAGTAAATATTGGCTGAGAATTAGAATAACTAAGGGAAAAATTAGCATTTATTCGGTTCATGTTGAGAATTCTTGAGAAAAGGAAAATATAAAATTTTAGTTAATATTTAAGGAGTTATATTTTATTTATTAAATGGTTACTTAAGGTCGAATCAAATATCCTTAATATTGAGCTATTTTTAATGCATCAATTGATGATATAACTTTAATCGCTGAAAATTTATTACTAATTAACTGAGTGTTACACAGCTTAGTATTTTAAATATGCTAGTAAGGCATGTATTATGATATACGAATTTTTATAATAAAGGTATTAGTGACTAATCATAAAACCTAAAGGATTAAAACGAAAATGGTAACAAAATTTTAAAGTTTTTTTATCTATAACTATATAAAACGTTATTTAAGTTAAGTGTTAATATTTTCTATTATACACAAGAATTATCAGACATGGTTGGGATTTTGTGATCCTCCTACGAGTTGATGAGATTGTACTTCATGTTTTTTGTATTCAATCAAAGACTGTGCTTGGGTTATTTGGAACATATTTTTCGGATAGTAATAAAAACTAGTCATCGTTCAAATCTGGATTATTCATATATCATTTTCAGATTAAGAATAATTCGAAAATTGGTTGCGCATATAAATATTCGTAATCGATTGTACACATGAGATCGATTTATCATCACTATTGAAGATTATTTCCGGTGACTATAGAAGTGAGTCATATAACAAAGCACAAAAGTGTACAACTATATAAGTCAAATTCACAGTTCTACCAAATTTTATCACGAAGATAAGTGTCACGAGTCATTGATTGCAAATCATCGTTAAATTCGAATTTGTGGATATTTTGTGGCTGTAACCTATTTAGTTAGCGGCAAAATGTAACTGATAAATTACGTCAAGTTATATACCGAACAAACCATATCTCAAGGTTTGGTGATAAGTTAGATGAAAGCAATAAATGGATTACTAATATAGCGAAGGTAACCGCCGACGCGTTGATTTGTTAACTCATAAATAAACATGAATTGTTGTAGGCAACGGGCCCGATATGTAACAAAACAAATTCCTACAGTTTTTTAGTCTATTTAGGCTGATTACGAGTTTCTATGATAAGTGAACTGGACTGTAAAGCTAAAGTGACTAGGTTAAAATACATGGAGGTTATGCATTTCGATGGGTAACTATCACAATCACTTAATTATTATTATTCAACGAACGCTAATTGCACTACTTTTGAATCCAAGGAGAATCTCTCAAGCATTCATTTACCATAATTACTTATTTACCATTTGATTGGTTACCCATTTTCATATTCTATTTCGCTTGACAAACGAAAACCGATGGGAGAATATTCCAAATTGAAATGTGTGCTGGCTTTTAAGTGACTCAAATGATTAGTTTCCGAATATTTTTCAGTCAACATGACTGAAGTGTGGTTCAGTTTATATGTAAGAACCATGTACTTTACCTTACAGTCAATAATCATAAGAGTAGTACAAACGTTTAAGATAAGCGACCGAATTACGGTTTTTATCTGGTTTGCACAGAACATTATAAAATTAACAATTGCTAAGTAGAAGAATAGATATGATTGGTCCATAATTGTTATTTTATTATCTTGCCCTAAAAAAATAATACCTACTATTCTGAGGTGCTTGTTCTTCAAGATTATTCTGGATTTCTTGTACTCAGTCATCCTGTTAACTATCTCAGATATAAGTACAGTGAACGACTTTTACTAGGGTACACGCTAATTTGATAACAATTCGTAGAATTATTTCATACATTAGTCGAATTCGAGTGGCTTGTTCAAATGTGAATGAAACTTACATTATCAGAAAAGACTAAATATGTTTCTTTTCCCTCAAGAAAAAAACAGCTGTATACTTTTAGATGCTAAAACAGTCATAATCAATGTAGAGACTGTCACAAATGTGTGTTGGCTTAAGTTGCCATATCAATTCAGCATGATGGGATTAAATTAACAGAAGTTGAAACATTGACTATCTATTTTAAAAATGAAAGTAACAGCATAATAATGAAGAAAACAATCAGTAGTATGAATATCAGACATTCATACCTAGGGAGGTACAAAAAAGAAGTGCAGTTTGCTCAATATTATCTTTTTTATTAGAAGTAAATTAATACATAAATTAATTACGAATACTATACATAAATCGTAAGTCGATATAATTAATTATAAATATAATGAAACCTATTATAACCATTATCACGTATGTAATAAAAAATTACAAATAGTGTTTAAATTAGGAAATATGAAAGGAGAGAGAAGGGAAAATATCTGGTAAGAAAGAACATGACAAAAACAAACGAACATTGAAAAGATTAATGTAAAGCCGGATTAAAGAGAATGTTTACTGGAAGACTATGTGTAAGTAAATAAATACCATAGTAATGAAATTTTACAAACTAGACCAGACAATTGCTTTCTTAATACGTTCACATGAAACTAGAGAATTACCATTCGGATTCCAATGACAACAAACGACAATATTTCTGAAATAAAAAAACGAAATAAAACATCTGGGTTTAAAGTGAGTGACATGACGAAATAGTAGATTTACAGACTCGCGTGCGAAATCTAAATTTAAAATATATTTAATACGTATTATGAATGTGAAGAAATTTAAGTATACATGAATAATCAACGAGGTCTCATTATTGAGACATATGAGCATTCCAGTTAAGTATGAAGCATAGCTAGTCTCAAAATCACCTCAAATCCCAATGTATTGAGAGGCTTAAGATAACGCATCCGAAAAAGTGACATTACACAAGTAGGGTTTACTTCCTTTACATCAGTAGTGCAGACACTCCTTATAGTAACCAAAGACAGTTGATGGGTTGGGCTTCCAGAAAAAGATGCATTGAAAGCACAACCATATCAAGATTTAACTTAAGTAGATTGTAGATAACTGGAAACAATACGACAATTTTAAATGATGGAAGAGTAGTCCAGTTTTTTTTCTATATCTGGTATACATACAGCTAAGAGGGTCCTATGCTACTCAGTTTTGTGAACAAATGTTGGTCCTTCCTTGTAGAGATAGCAACAAGTACATTTTAGTTCATATTTTCGCATAACCTTTGCTCTTTCAATACTGATTGTTACAACCTTCAGTTTGCTAATCTCCTGTCTCAATGTCATGTTTTTTATCATATATGAAAAGCTGTTCCATTTGATTTTTTCTTTGTTAAATACCAACCTTTTTCGCAGTGCTGTGTTCTTTTGAGTTTTAATGCTGGGGAATTTGTAATATACTCCTGGTATGCACGCTTTTCACGTAGAAATAAACTTAACGCAATAGCCATACTTGAGATGACAAACGTTTAAGTGTACTTTTTCAGACAGTTGCTATCATATTATATACACATATGCCGGTATGTCATATACATTAAATTTAGAGAAACAGTAAATTCGCAATATTAGATGACACAGTAGATATAACCAATAGCTTGACTATGACATTAAAATCGTTTCATATCTTTCTACGTACTAATTCTTACTTCCTGTACTATATCCTTATATGCGATCTTTCTTTTATACATTACCACCATTGACTTAACTACCTCTATGAATCCGGTGTTTATCTTGCTGTGGTAATGCGGTATAGCAGCTTGGACCGATGCATCTATGTGCCTGGTCCTACGTTGTAGCTGACTGACTGACTAAATTTATTGAAAGTGTGGCTTAAAGCCTGATATATACACATACATGCACTTGATAAATGAACCATAAAATTAAAAGCGTACGTCCTCATGAGAAGTGATTTTCAAAAAACACAAACTCAATATTCTTTGTATATGATTCCACAGTACCAATACGATTTGAATTGTCATTCCCATCAGTTTAGCTTTCATGGTTTTACAAGTATGATGATTACAAGTAAAGAAAGTACCTTAAACATTTCAAGTAGATATTCCTAAAAAAACAGATGTCAAACAAAATTCACTCTGAGCACTTAGTCTTCGTATTTAGTTTTTAGTCACCACAAACAGTAATCGTTACAATTATCTATTATATTTTATAACATAATTTAAACATTTATTATTGTATTTTTATTCAAACTTCAAACTAGAAGAATTTCAAAAAAAAACAAACCCTTAGTATCCTCACGAAAATACTCAAAGATGAGTCGTGAATTGTATTTATTTATAGTAATATGAACTAATGATATATTGCTTTGTAAACAACATATTGATCAAAACCTGACAGTTAAATAAGAATGAATTTGTTTAATATCGAGCTATCCAAGAACAAAATATGAATAAATGATAATTCTGTACCTTGAGGGAAAAGAAAATGAAAACTTCAATGAAGTCTATCGATTGTATCAGATAATGGAATAATACTTGTTTTCCTACCTACTTGATTTTTTATCCTTAACGTTATTAAAGAGGTTTGAGTGTGTAGTTTATATCAAATAAACAGGCTTCAAGCATCCCAAGGATGAAAAAGAAACTGATGAAGAGGAAACAGAAAGAAATCGATAACCGTTACACAAAGAAGTCAGTTGAGCAGCGATTACACAACTTTTAAAGTACATTTAATTTTAGATGACAATTTTCGAAATCAAAACATACGTGTGGTCACGGAGACAAATTTCTAAATTTCCTGAAACTGTGCTCCAAATATAAACTCCGCCATCATGTCCACCAGCAGCTACATAATCTGAATCAGGTGAGAAGCATGGTCGAACTATATCTAAACCTGTTTGAAAACCATCAGCTTTCAAGCATTGTGTAACTTGATTCATACGTAAATCCACAATTTCTAAAGTGTTGTTACGTGTACAAGATAAAACAGTTGTGAAATCTAAAAATGCAAAAAATAGTTAAATGTAAAGTTCTTTTTCATCAATTAAAAACAAGAGAATATTTTTAACTGATAGCAGAGCACTCTTCTACTTTAGAGAATACACAAAAGTATTCAGTAAGGGTTTAAATCCCACTTTCAGAAGATAATTCATTTACTCATGTTAGTTTTTCATACATATTCAACGAAATGGATCAAAAAGATCCATTTAAACTATTAGTCTTTTAGTGATCTACTGGTCTCTTTCTATGATGTGCATCAGAAACTTAACAACAGTAGTACAGTAACATATTTCATGTATGCGTTTACATACATACACATACAGTATTACAAAGTTCAAAGGGTGAATGAATTGAAAAGCTTGCATTTTCAGTTGTCAGAAAAGTAACAACATTAATTTTTTATCATGTTTGTGACATAATCGTGAAGTTGAATTCGTCGAAGGTTGTTTGAGATCATGTTTTGAAATATTTTGATAAGCAGAAAATGATCCGTTTGTATTCATGTCAAGGATTTATTGAACCTTATATTTAATGTAAATATAATGACAAGTACTTCCAATAACCATTTTTAAGTTGATACCTAAATGAATGTAGTTATCATAATATAGTTTGAGATTACGAGCAAACGTTTGCAGGGAAGGGTTTATCATTATTTTCCACCTTCAATTCATCTATAATTAATATTCGTTAAATATAAATCTAGGATGTGCGTAGTATATAAAGAAATATTTAAAAAGAGACCTATTAATTTCATTCTTTAAAACATTAAAGTTTTGAAATCAAATCAGTCGAAAAATATTTTTTATCATTAAAAATACTAGTGTAAACGGTCGTCCAGTGCTTCCAGATTTTCCATGGTGGTTCAGCTTCAATTGACTCATGGATTCAATTAAATTAAATTACTGAAATCTCCACAAAACCCTCTTCTCATGATAATCATTATGTGGTCACTAGTGACTGGCTTCACGAGGTATTTCCTGAAGTTCTAGTGAGAAGCCGTGAACAGCGGAGTTCAAACAGGTCTGTTGTCAGATAGTAACTCACTGAAGACAATGGTGGACGACGGTGCGATTTCGTGAATTGGTTGACGTTAAACATTAACACCGTAAGATGTCGGCCCAATGGTCTAGATGTTAAGTGTTCGCGCGCTAGACCGATAGGTCCTGGATTCGAGTCCCGCAGACGGGATCGTGTATGCGCACTACTGAGGAGTCGTACAATGGGACAAAACGGCCATCAAGTGGTTTTACGTTTTCCATGGTGGTCTAGCTTCAATTGACTCATGAATTCAACCATTATAATATGATTCAAGAAAAAAATATAAATTAGTGAGACAAAAATATTTATGAAAAATTCAGAATCTCAGAATCTCGGGAAACGACAAAGAATGGATGCACCTGCACCATAGCAAATGATTTTGAGCCACGACATTCAAAGTCGCTGATCATTGGTTACGATAATCACACGAAACACAACCACGTAGTCTACACCTGTTAACATCGCTCAGTCTAATAGTCAGTATCTTCATGGTTTGGACGTTCCTAGCTTCCTTTCAACCCACTCTTACACCAGCTATCCTTGCACGTCGAAGTAGTCGGTGGGTGATAAAGACCTAATAATTGCCCTGACCATCTCAGTAAATAGACGGTCAAAACATCCCTAACCCTAACCTACAAATATTCTCTACTTTTGATGGCCATGTTTTACAGCCACAAAGTACCAATGGAGCAAACTATTGCGCAGTGCATTCGTCCTCTGGTGGGCAGGTGGACATCTCTCCGATGTAAGTCATAAAAAGCCAATTGAGCTTTCGTAAGACGCTCATCCATCAGTGCTGATTGGATTCAAAAAGAGAAGTGAAATTACAAGTCCGTCATTAGTCAAGAGTTATCTATTCTAAATGTCGAAACATGAATTATGAGAAAAATCCAAAGTTCAAAAGACAGAAAGTGAGTACAGTCGTTTTCCTGCTTCGCAGTGACCAAGTATATACCGCATATATATAAGATCAACTATTTCACTCCCTACCACTATTTCAAGCACCTACCCATACCAGTCCTGGAACAACACTTGCATTTGGAGAGAGACGGAGAGAAAAAAAGAGAATCGCATCCTAAACATGCTTGCATTACTGATTAGAGTGGTCAGAAGACTGCCTTTCGTCAGCGTCTTCACTAAACACAACTATGCCATCTGCATATTCTAAATCAACAAGTGAATCTCAAAGTGGAAGATTGATTTCTCAGAAATCAGGCAATCAAAGTATTGTCTCTAAAAGGACGTCTACAACAAGGTTGGACAAAAATGGAAAAAGCAGATAGTCTAAACGAAAGCCACCCAAGGTTATCAATTCCGATGACAGTTCACCGTAAGTTCTGGACAGACCAGTAGTGTCTAACTAGGGAGCCTGTACAAGGTTGATGTCATTCGTTGGCATGCCTTTCAATGTCAGACACTAACACAGAACATCACAACCAACGGAGTCGAACGCCCTCTTCAGGTCAAGGAATACAACTATAGCCGGAAGTCGAAAACAATGTTTATGTTACAGGACCAGAAAAAGGGTGAATATTTGGTCTATCTATCTACATCCAGGTCTGAAACTAGACTGCTCTTCATGAGACTTAGCTAAGTGTCGGAGTATTGCCGAAGCTAATATTTTAGACGCTATATTACTTGCATGACAAGATAATAATTTTAAACGGACGCGTGGTTTTTAATAACTCTATAAAAACCTACATTAGCGGATAACATTCATAAAATAGACACTTAGCGGTGTAGGATTTATAAAAGACAGGACTTTAAACCCTTTATTTTTTATTGGTTTACATTAAGCTAGCCGTAGCGAGAATCATTGTTTAAATTAACAGCATTTCTCTTTTGGAAGTCTTGCTTTTTTAAAACAGCCTGAAGCCGCTAAATGCTTGTCAACTGGAAGCTATGACCTGATGTGAGACTCTATAAAATCATGTCTGAGTCTAGAATTGTTATTTTAATCATCAGTATTGTGATGCAAATTAGACAAAACGAATCTACTTATTACTTCACAGTTATAACTATATTACTTATGAGTAACGAACATTTATCCCCTTACTTATATTTTACTGACTTAATCAATGGTAAACTTTCTAATAGTTTGATAAATATTTTGTCTATTCAACCGCACTGAAAGAGCATTTTTCGTGCCCATATGAGTTGAGATTTTACTGTTCTTATTAAATGCATTACATTGGATATGGAGTTGATACAAACTAACCATAATTCATAAGAGTCAGTCAGTCAGTCAGTAACAACGTAGAACTTCGTACGTACGTACATCAGTTTAAGTTGCCACACCACATTAGCACAGAGATGCACTTGTCGATTCAAATCCCGTAGTGGTAGATGTAATCAGAGTATAAGCAGTAATCGGGAAGATTAGGGTTTGGAGATGTTATTTAAAGAGTATAATCCAGTGAAATAAATTTGGAAAAAGAGGAAAAAAGGGACATGAAGAATTCAGAAGATTAGAATTTGGGAGAACACAAAAAGTGGATGCACCTGCACCATTGCAAACGATTTTGAGCCATGTCATTCAGGGTCTCTAACCATCGGTTGCTATCATCTCGCGGTCCCCAACCAGGTAGTCTGCACCTACCAACATGACTCAGTCCACTTGTCAGTGACTTCATGGACTTGTGCCATGTTTTGGTTTGGCCGCCCCTAGCTTTCTTCCAACCTACTCCTATACCACTGAACATAGCACGTCGAGGCAGTCGGTCGTTGGGCATACGTAACACGTGTCCCAGCCACCTCAACTGATGAAGTTTCACTACTTCATCAATTGATTTGCCATCTTTACCTAGTACCCGTTTCCTAACAACTGTGTTACTTACTCGATGGTCCCAGGATATACGAGCAATGTTTCGAAGACACCTATGATCGAATACTAGTAACCTACGAATATCCTCTACTCTTACCGGCCATGTTTCACTGCCATAAAGAAGGACGGAACGAACTGCTGCGCAGTAAACCCGTCCTTTGGTTGATAGACGGATATCTCGCCTACGCCATAAGTGACGCAAGTTGGCAAAAGCTAGTCGAGCATTCTGTATCCGTGCTGAGATTTCGTCACACACCAGACCACAAGGGCTGATGAGACTTCCAAGATAAGTGAAGCGGTCGACACGCTCAACTACTTCACTCTCTATCACTAGTTCGGGTGTCGATGTAACCCAATCCTGAAGCAACATTTTGCATTTCGAGGGAGAGAATCGCATCCCGAACATGCTTGCATTGTTGCTTAGAGTGGTCAGAAGACTCTGCATTTTGTCAGCGTCTTCACCAAATAAAACTATGTCATCTGCATATTCTAAGTCAACAAGTGAACCTCCTGGTAGAAGTTCAACCCCTGGAAATTTAGATGACGAGAGTGTTATCTCTAAAAGTACGTCAATGACAAAGTTGAACAAGAATGGGGAGAGTGGACAGCCCTGACGAACACCACTTGAGGTAATCAATTCTGATGACAGTTCGCCATAAGCTCTCACTCTACCAGTTGTGTTCGAGTAGAGAGCCTGTATAAGGTTAATGAACTTCTTTGGTACTCCTTTCAGTGACAAACACTGCCACAAAACCTCACGATCAATAGAGTCGAATGCTGCCTTAAGATCGAGAAATACTACCATTGTGGGGCGTCTGAATGTGTGTCTGTGTTCTAGAACCTGACGTAGTGTGAATATCTGATCTATACAACCACGTCCAGGTCGAAAACCAGCCTGATTTTCTCTAGTCTGCTCTTCACGAGCTTTAGTTAGGCGTCGAAGTATCATTGAGGCTAATATTTTAGACACTATATTAGTCAAACTGATTCCTCTGTGATTGTCACAAGAGGACTTTTGTCCTTTCTTATAGACTGGCACAATCAGTGATTGAGACCAGTCAGATGGGATTACGTCCAGTTCCCAAATTTTACCTAAGACCTCGGTTAATCTCATTGCTAATACTGGACCACCATCC